AGAGAAATAAAATGGCCATTGCACATTAAGGGTGTACTTATATGAGCCCTTAGAGTACATGGATACACTCAGGTTCAGAACAGAAATTCTAGTCTGAAATGTGGGCTTAACCACAATAAAACTGGGTGGGGAGCAGACTAGGGATCAAACCCAACTGTGGCTTGCTTCACAAACGCCAAGCAAGTGCCCTACCACTGGGCCACATCCCTCACCACTGTTTCAGGTTGGTTTTGAGGCAGAGTCTCAAGTTAGACCAGGCTGGCAAGGGAAGTCACTCTGATCCACAACAGCCTCAAAGGCAAGGTGATCCTCTCTGTCCCTTGGCCTCCTAGATGCTAGATCACATTCACAAACCACCACACCCAGACACCCCCCCAAAAAAAATAATTTTTAAATCTCTTACACCAGAGAATTGCTTTTAATCTTCTTTTTAAAAATGAGATTTCAACGAACCTTTATTTTAAAACAAATTAGAAATGTTGACAACTAATGAAATTATCCCTCTGTCATGCTCCCTCCAACTCTGATGTCATGCAAGAAGACTATGCCCTCCTCCGGCTAGCGGAACCTAAACTTTATCTTCCGTTCCTGTTACCACCTCGGCAATAAAGCCAGAGAGGGAGGCAGTAGCTCAAAAGTGACCAGAACTCAGGTCCTCAAAACTGTAACGTGGGAGGCCGCTGTCTCTTAGATATCTTGCTAATTTTGTGTGACTGTCGGTAATACCTAGAGAAACCATTCTGGAAACATCTTTCATATGATGTATGAACTGGAAAACACACTGCAGTCAGCTAAGGAGCGTTCCCACCTGACCCTCCTTCCTATGTTTACCGTGGTCCACTGTGTGTGCAGTATGAAAAAAACAGGTAGAAAATGAACAACTTCAATGACACCTTATTAAAGCCTATATTCTACCCAGTTTGCCTTTGCTGTTGTTGTTGTCTGTGGGTAACAGACCTGGCTGTCCTAGAATTTGCTCCATAGACTAAGCTGGCCTTCCTTGAACTGAAGAGATTGTCCTGCCTTTGCCTCCCAAGAGCTTGGACTAAAGGCCTGTGCTACCATGCCAGCTTTTTTTTGAAGACTCACACTGTATACATCAGGCTAGCCATAAGCTCTCAAAGGTCTCCCACTTTCCGAGGTCTGAGATTACAGGCCCAGTTAATGTACCCCTTCTCCTCCTTGATGGGAACAGAAACAAGCTTCATTATGACACCTGATCTCCAATTTATTGACATAAAATTATATCTCATAAAATTAAATACAATATCTCCCAAGGAACATACATTTTATTATATTATTTTACTAATACGTAAGAATCAGATCCATACCCCCAAGGACATGTATCTTTAAAAAGAACACTTATCATCCAGGGTAGACGTAAAACATAAATGTGTCTTCCTATATTGATATTAAAAGATATCAAAAGTCACTTAAGTATCTATAAGCAAGATGCACGCTTCTGTGTGTGTGTGTACAGATACGTTCCTATACTTTCAGGAAAATGAGTCATAAATAAATGAGAAAAGTGACAGGCATGATGGCACAGGCCGGTGATCCAAAGGTGATCGGAAGACAAAGGCAAGAGGCTTGAGGGTTCAAGGACAGCCGCTCCTACTTAGCATGTTCAAGGCTGGTGTGAGCTGCCTGAGACCTCATCTCACACAAAGCAAATGATAAAACAAAATAAGGAAGGAAAGAGAACGGGAAGGGGTGCCTGCTGCCAACGGGGTGAGAAGACAACTCTGCACGGCATACTGAACGACATACTCCACACATATGGCAAACGGGATTCTCAATCTGCACCCAAGGAAAACTGCTGTGTCAGCACGTCCCATTCTTCACCCCACATTCTGACACAGAGAATTGCCCGGAAGCGGTCTGTGGCAGGAATGTTCTCACTTCCCTTAATAAAGGACTTTGACCTCACCTTACAATGAAGCTATACGCCTCTGCAGACTGCCTACCTTGGGTGGCAGCTCTAGCTCCTGTTGTCCGACAGCTGTTATGCACCAGGTGCTCTATGGGGCCTTGGGCACAAGGGGAATCAATACCTGCCTTCAGGGAGTGCACAGCCTCCAGCAAGACAGAAGTGGGAAATTTACAAATAATACAGTGTACGCAATGGCAAAGCATACACCTCTGCAATTACCACAGTGCCTTTACAATATCTTTCCTCTTTCTTCCCACGACTCTTCAAGGTGAGGGCCTCTGGCATAAATGTGGGATCTGCAGCTGTCTTGGGTTCCCCTGGGTCAAGTCCGGCACCGGCAGGAATTTTGTGTGTGCCTAACAGCAATGCTACAGCATTACAAGAAACAAATTATGTAGGTCTGTATCATGGTAGACTGACAAACAGTACGTGGATCGGCTATTAACCTGGACCTATGCAGTGTTCTAATGCTGGAATTTCAGCATCGAGACAAACATCCTTAGTCTGAGAAGTCGGCTGATCTTTCAGTCTTCACTCATGCAGCCCCATAAAAGAAGGTATGAAAGCAAAGCCTGTTTCTTTTCCTAGAAGCCGATGGATTTATTCTCCCTTGTTCTTATTGGTAACACTGAAGACTTTGACCCAGTAACTTTGAGCTTCTATGAATGCGTGGGTAATCTTTTGCAACCTCAGGGGAAAAAAAAACCCACTACTTCTCAATCTGACAAGTTGCCAGTATTTATTTAAGGACCTCTCACTTTTCAGACCTAAGAATTCCCTGGAGATTTCATTACAGTCTCGGTATTCTACCCACTCACCCTTGCCCCCTGCTCTGAGCTCTATCCAAAAAACACGGACGACACAAATGAATTGCAAATATACCATAAAAGCACAGTTGTGATTACCAAGCCACAGCCCAAGGGAGGAATTGTTTCTATTTTTAAATGCGCTGTTGCTTTAAGGAGAAGTTCCCTGATGAAATATGAAACCAAGCTGCAGAGTGGACATCGAAATGTACTTGGTGTCTTCATTCTGGCAAAGACGGTCATCCTAACCTGAACGGGGCATCCTTGTGTTGACTCCTCTCAGGTCTGGAAACGGAACAGCCAGTGAGTCCACGGGCAGACCCAGAGAGGGTCCATCAACCACACAAAGAGTTGGATCTGTCAGTCCACAACATGAGAGCACCCCACGGTTCAACTCGATTCTTCCGGCTCCAGATAGGGGTCTACCAGAGTCAGCATGCCAATGGATAAATGTCCAGGTCACTCTCCCCACAAATCCTCACTTGAAATGATCTAACACAGTGGCCTTAAGAACAACCAAGTGACAGTTTAGCATTTACCATTTTAAGAATGGCAAAAAGAGAAGGCGGCAGTGGTTGGGAGCACATGCCCAGACTGCCTACTGATCTGGGCTCCATCCCCCCAGGAGCTCAGAATGAATGAGTAGATGAATGAATGGACACACTCACCCACTCACATACATATACACAAACAAACACATATACGGTTAAAAGTATTAAAAGAACAGGGGAGTGGCATAAGCAACACCAAGCCAGGGAAACTGAAGCCTTGGCTTCCTAAGAAAAGCTAAGATAGTCTACCTGTTCTCCAGGATGCCTTGGAGAACCAGAGCCAAAGAGATAGTCTTCTGAAATAATATACTAAGATCCAGTTTTGAAAGAAAAATAAAATAGCGATATGACATAGGCATCTATTTAATCTTTAGTTTATTCAACAAATTTACTCATGCCCACCATAAAATATACCACCTACACTGCTATCCATATGCAGAAAAATACTGTAAGATATTTTAACATGTCCAAAAATACTGTCCAAGGATACATCCATTACTGTATGTAAAGATACATATGCGTCTATAAAATAACTTAGCCATTAAGTTACTATAAAAATCTGCTATAGTGACTATAAACCACTATAAGAATCTGCTAGGAAATGCAGAATGTTTGCTAAGTCAGTGGAACATGCTGGGCTCAGTATAAAAAGGAAAGAATCCCCATTCTTATCCCTCATAACAATCTTACCCCCAAATTTAGCATGGCTGGGCTGCAATGGAGTTTGATTATAGAAGGAAGCAGCTGCCTCGGTTAGCAACACAGTAACAAACCCTACTTCACAGTCAGTCTTCAGGGAAACTCTAAAGAGCAAAATCCACTCGTTCTGTAGCTCTTCAATCAACAGGTGACTTCCAGAGACAAACTCATACTCATTTCCAAGCCGAATCTCAATCTCGGTTTCCTTTTCTACTTTTATAAGCTCCTACAATGCCATACTGAATGAATACCGACCAATTTTTTTCTCAGGGGCTTACCATAAAAATGCCAAATATTCACATTATTTTGGGGGCATTTTCCCATACCATTGCATGGCACAGAGTAGAATTAATAAGGATCCCACAGTTACGACTTTTCAAATGCAAATGCCTTGCCATCTAGAAAATGCAGCCCCTTTTAACTTCCCCCGTCCCAGTGTCTGAACAGCTCCGGATCAGGACTCTATTTCCTTAAAAATCAAAATTCCCGCATTACTTTCAGACACCACCTCAACTCACCACCTCTAAGAACCTAAAGATTTTAAATGACCCAGCCTTGTGCTAAGGTGTTTTTCTGCTTTACAGGCTCCCAGCCCCCATTTCATAGACAACATCCCTAAGCAGTTCTGTTAAAGGGGGCAAACAACGTAAGAATCGCGGGAGCTGGACTCCATCAATAGGGCCCTGGGTTGGTCATTTGCACGCTTCAGACATTGGCTTTCCTATGTGTAAGATGTGGCCTGGGCTACACATCTCCATCCGGTCCTTTACACGTTCTAGGAGCCTGGAAGCCCGAGTACTGACTCTGACCAGGGTTCCCTGCCTAGGAGACATCGCTCTAGATGAGAGGGGCCAAGAAGTGATGGGCACAGAGAGAAGAGGGGACCCTGCACTTGCAACCGCTTCCCATATGAGCGTGGGACAAACTTGAAGCCACCCTTGCTAACAATGGGAGAGCGCACTCGGGTTTTCCGGGCTCAAACTTGGCAGGAGCCGGCGGGGTGGGATTTACCTTTCTCCCTGCTTGGTGTTGGAAGGAGGAGGGTGCAGGACCGTCTGGTTCCCTTCCATCTCCACCACGCACTTGGTGTTCAGTTCCAGCTCTGAAAGCACAGGGGCAGGGCGATGTTGCAAAGTGGAGCATCCGCGGCCGCAGCCGGCGCGCGTGGCTCGGTCCCGGCAGGCAGGGAGACGGCGCCCCGGGCACATAGTGGCCGCGGCCAGAGCCTGGGCGCCGCCTCCACCCGGGGCCACGCCGGGCCACCCCGGTGTCCCCGATCCCTGGCTGCCCTGCAGTTTGCAAAGTTGCCCCCCGCCCTCGGCCGGGGCAGAAATGCAAAAGGAGCTGGGGAAAGCGGCTCACCTCTTCGGTTCATGGGCCGGACCCGGACGGCAACTTTTACCTTCGTATCCGACATGTTGGCGGCGCGCTGCTCCGCCCGACGCGGCCCCTTCAAGCGCCGCGCCGCCGCCGCAGCAGCAGCCGCAGCCGCGCGCCCCCCGAGCCCGGCCGCCGCCGCTCCGCCGAGAGCTCCGAGACGCAGCGCCGAGGCGCGCGGGCCATCCCGGGGGAGCGCGACGCGGGGCACG